TTTTGATCACATTTAATACTTGACTTCAAATTAACTGGCTCAGACAAGTGTCTTAATCCATCGAATCCATCAATCCCCTTCAGGCGACCGAAATTCTTCCAGCTTTTTATCATCAAGCCTCGGACGTGTTTCTTGTGTATATTCAGCATATTATCAATTTTCACAAATACAAATATTCCCAGACAAGAATCTGTTCACAAGTAGCCTTTAACAAAACATTCCCTTCCAAAATAGAATTCTTAGCCCGACGAATTCAAAGCGTAACCTCCTTTTAAGCCGATTTACACCTTGCGTACCTTTGACGGAAATCTACGGCGACCGGTTAGTGCAATATTTATATCCAAATATATCTTAATTAATATTTAATTGTCCATCTCAAATGTATTCATAAGTAATAAATAACAAGTTTATAAACTTCAATGGGAATTGAAGTGGGTCGGTACGTGATCAAATCTTCTGAGAAGGCCTTCGGCCTTCAGAGGATTTGATCACGTGACCGACCCACTTCAATTCCCATTGAAGTTTATAAACTTGTTATTTATTTCTTAATTAGGACACAATGTGTAGATGTGCATATGCATTTCCAGGAAATATCGATTTCTTTATTTTTCCGGGAATTTCCGTATATACTTTTACACTTAGATTTTTGGCAATATCTTAAATATAGAGATGAACAGTTTGTCAGCGCAACTCCTCATAAACGCTGCACACAATTTTGTCAAACTTTGTAGATATTTAGAAAACATTGTGTAAATGTGCATATCACCAGGAAATTGCGATTCGTTCATATTTCCGGAAATTTCAGCACTTTTACCCTTAGATTTTTGGCTATGTCTTGAATATAGAGATGAACAGTTTGTCAGCGCAACTCCTCATAAACCGCTGCACAAAATTTCGTCAAACTTTGAAGATAATTAGGACACACTGTGTACATGTGCATATTTCCAGGAAATTACAATTACTTTATTTTTTCCGGGAATTTCAGCACTTTGACTTTTGGGGGAGAGTGGGGTAAGTGAGCTCGCTCACTTTTTCTTTCATTAGAATAATTATCGTTAAAGCGAATTAGCTATCTTAAGGACGCTCTAAACACTGCACACTAAAAAGCTCTATTTAGTGGGTACTCTTTTTTTTCAGTTAGAGTGATCTGCCCTTAGATGCATGATTAAAGAAATTGTTATTTACCGTTAATTACATAACTTAGACTAGATTAAAATATTTTTAGCATTAAGTAAGACCAAGAGCAAGAAATTTAGATATTTATTTTCATTAAATTTTTCCATCGTAAGTAAACAACAGTGATTTCTACTTTAAATAGTCCCTTGTCTTTGAACATTTTTCATGCGCAAATAAGGCACGTACCCTATGTTCTAAATGAATGAAAAAGTCTCAATATGCATATCTTTAGATATTTATTTATTTGGTATACTACACATACGTTGCAATATTCACAATATAATTTAAGATATATATATATATAAAAGATGGCATTAAACAATATAATTGATATAAAATATCGGAATCAATCATTTTTAAAAGACATGAATTTATAAATATGATTCACATAAGATTGTATTTGTATACCAAGGATAACCCATGAAAGCCAATGGCTTATTTCCAATGGGGTCCTTATACTCAAACATGTATATTAATTGGATGTTAAATAATATAAGCAGATAAATATAAAATTAAAATACTATAGCTAAGATATGGGATCAAGTTGACAACACAAAGATCCTTAAAAATGAAGTGTATTGTGAATGTATACCAAATATTCACATGATTGTAATTGGAACAACTTATACTAATAATGAAAACTAATAAAACACAACTTGACTTTGACACTGGGCAATTCCCCTTTCTAATAAAAATTTCTTGACATTTCTTTTAAAAGCAAAATTATTTCCAGTGTTTAAAACAGGTTTAATTTGTGCTGGTAACATGTTCCAGTCTTTGATTCCATTAAAATAAAATGATTCAGATTGTTTTTGCTTAGTTATTGGAACGACAAAATCTGCATTTGAGACTGATCTAGTATGATAGCTACTAAAATTTGACCGAAGTATAAAATGTTCATTAAGATAAGAAGGGGCTTTTCCTTGAAAAATATTAAAAACATGGTTGAGTCTAAGCTGAGAAACTCTATCTTGAATATTTAATAAATTTAATTGACTAAGTATTTCGTAATTAACAGTTGCCTGAGGACCTAAATTCAAAATAAAACGAACCATCTTGTTTTGACAAATTTGTAACCTTTTCTTTAAAGTTTTGGATAGTCCTGCATACCAAGCACTACAGGCGTAATCAATATGGCATTGTATTAATGCTGAACACAGAGTCATTTTACAAAAAGTATCTAAAAACCGGGCTTGTCGGTACAGAAATCGCAATCTATTATTTACTTTCTGGACAATCGATTCAACAATGTATTCACCACTTAAACATCTGTCGATCAAAACTCCAAGATATTTAACTTTTTCTTTACAATCAATGTTATGGTCATTACATACAACCTGGAACTTTTCAACATTTTGAAGCTTTCTTTTGGAACCAAATAAAATGCATTCAGTTTTACCTAAATGTAACGATAATTTATTATCAACAAGCCAGTGCGAAGTCTGTTCTAAAACTTTACCAAGCTTTTCTGATATAAAATCAGGATCTTTATGTGCAAATATAATGGCACTGTCATCAGCGTATAAAATAAGTTTACAATCTGCGTCAACACTAGTAACCATATCATTAACGTAAATTAAAAATAATAAAGGGCCTAGAATACTGCCCTGTGGTACACCACAAGTGATAATACCAGCATCTGAAGAAATTCCATTACTGTGAACAAACTGTTTTCTTTCAGACAAATAAGATAAAAACCAATCAACAGATTGAACACCAATTGCTTTTAGTTTTTTACAAAGTATGTCATGGTCAACAGTGTCAAATGCCTTTTGCAGATCAAGCATAACCATTCCAGTATATAATCCCTTTGCAGTATTATCTCTTATAAAATCAAATAAATGTATCAAACAAGATTCAGTGGAGTACTTACTTCTAAAACCAGATTGAAACTCATATAAGATATTATTACGATCTAAGAATTTTGAAAGTTGCATATGAACAGATCTCTCTAAAATTTTTGAAACAACACTAAGAATACTAACCGGTCTATAATTACCTACTTCTAATGAACTGTTCTTTTTGTGATTTTTTTGTGATCTTTATATGATATATTTTCCCCTGAGTCCAAAAAACAGTTTCTGTCAGAGTTTAGAGCTTCCTTAACATCTAATGTTATTTGCAAGTGAGAATCGTTGCATTTCATTTTTGGAAATCTAGGTAAAATAGTTCAATGAGTATACAATTTTTTCAACCATATTTAATGTGAACTAAAATTAATGTCAGTGACAGCACCAAACTTGTGACCAAGACACTTGATGTACTCTAATCGAGTTTTTACTCCGGTTGATATATATTATACTGCTCTACACAAAACTTTAATTTTTCTGCTTCACATCTGCGCAGAGTAAATATTTTAATGAAGGTAGTGGTCTGCATTTTCCATATTCAAAGACGCTTTATTGATATATATAATTTCACAAAACTCAGAAATAGGAGTTCAGTAGTTTATGATTTATTTCTTTATGTTGTTCATAGGTAAAGTCTTCAAATCTGTTACTTAAGGTACTACATGTATCTGAAGAATGTCGGAAATGAAAACCAAAAAAATGTCGGAAATGGAAACTAAAAAATGTCGGAAATGAAAAGTTGATAATTACACAAAAGTTCCAGAAATGAAATGCAGCCGTGGGAATAGGTGGATTTGAGATTTTTAAAAAGCGAGAATAGGTAGTAGACATCCTTCAGTCTCTTGTTATGCCCCAGGATATTACAAACAAATTAATAATATAGCAAACATTACAATTTACACTAAATCGTTATTTCTTTTTCCAAGCTACAAGCCGGGTTAATTGAATTTTCTTACAGATTTCAACCCTATGAAAATCAACTCCTAAATACATATTAGCCTAACCCTTAATGAAACAAACATTTCCAAAGTGCCTAACAAAATCTTTAAACAGGTTTTTGTAAGGAATACTAAAGCAGGGTTGCGATTATTTTTGAATTTTTCAAGAGTTAAGACAGTATGCTACCTTTCCGTTAGAAGCGATTTAAACATGGATTTAAGGAACTCGAGCAAAAATTTTCCTAAAAAAAGACAAAGCTATCATATTTTCATGGATGCTGTAATTTAGTCGTAAATTGAAATTAAAAATTGCAGACACTTAACAAAATTCATAATAATATTTTAAAAGTAAAACATTATTAATAGCTTTAATTATTTACCTGTTACGAGTGTTTATTTGTAAAGATATGTGATATAATATCTTTTTACAAGCAAGACATACAAAAAAATTGCAGTATGTAGCATGGTTTAATTATTCATTACAGTTTTATTTCTTAGTCTTGATTATTATAACCTAAGCTTGCATATAGCTGATACAAATACATTTTTAAAAAACAAATAACAATTTAATCGGTAATTTTCAATATACATTATACGTTTTGTGCAAAGTACGACTTTTTAAACAGAGTCGCTGTTATAGGTAAAAAAATCAAAAGCAAAATTTCACGCTAAATTAAAAAAAAGAGTTAAGTAAAAACAAAATGAAATAATACTAGCCTCAGACGTTAAACTGAAGTAACACTGCTTTATTTTTGATAATCAGTTTATAAAAGTACACACTATCAGTATCCTAAAAAGCTTTCAACGGCTTTATTTTGATATAAACGCACCGAAATGTTTTCCTAACCAATGAAATATAGGTTAGGTAAATAAGTTTTCAAATAATCTAAACACACATATTAAATTCTAAGCTGTTTTTTAACTTTATCTTGAAGAGAAGATAAGAAGGTTATAAATTTATATACATTATATACTCGGGGGGGGGGGGGGTGGTGGTGTTAACTTCCCTTTACATTTAGCCTGTCTCTAGACTCATCCTTTGTGTGACAACACTTCCTTGTACAACATTAAGGGTGACACTACTGCACGACGGATTAGTAAATGTCCGGAACTTGAACTTGGTAAATGAATTCCCGTGCTTTTACCCGGAATTATTAACAAGGTATTTTTTTCTGAGCTAAAACATTATAATCAGTTCAGTAAAACATAGCTTCTTATGTTATTATTCAGAAATAAGAGTTAACAATGAATAGAAAACATATTTTAAAATGTTTAGATATAATTTTATTTTCAGTGAGTAATTTTTTTTTGTCTTTCACACCTACATGTATAGGCACACAGGGTATAACACCGTAATATGCTTTGTACATGTATGTGTGCGGGGGGGTTCTATTATTGCTGTCCCCTCTTAGCTGTTAAAATGAATTATTAATATGATTTCTCATTTTATATTCACATGTCAGCTGTGAGACAAAAAAGATGTGACTTGTTCTTCTCTTCATACATAATTGTTAAAACATGAAGAACATTAAAAATCTATATTTGATTTCTTCCATAGTTCGGTATTTGTTGTCGGTACAAAAAGGGACTGGAAATATTTGTTAGAGCTTATTTAAATTTATCAATGTGGATCCAGATACTAGTATATCAATATACCTTTATTAAATAAGATGATGACAATTACTCAACGGCCATAAAATCCACAGAGATAACGTACAGAAAAGACAAACATACAGAAATTTCAGTAAAGTATTGATTCGAGATGTTTAAACATATTTAGTATTTACATAAATGGTTGACTAAGTGCAATTAATGAGAAGTGTTTTATTACATTATTATTATGAGATTAGATAGTCGAATGAGCTCCCATTACACCCAACACGGAAGATATTTATCCTCTTCACATCCTGAAGCACTTAGTTTTATTCAAATGTTATTTTGTCTAAGTGCCTTTTGTAGTGCTTTACCCCCATTTTAAGATAACACAAGGTTTGATTTAAAAGGATTTTAAAATCGTCATAAACGTGACAATTTGAATATACGTGTTACATGAAACTGCTTTCTACATTTATCTTTACCTACCTTTGATATCTCGGTTATAAATAGTATGTTTTTAATTGGACAATAATGATGATTCTCATATTTGAGGGTATGGACTAAAGGGCTACCGTTTCACGTTCGGTACCTACTAAAATAAATATTTCCCTATCATTATCTTGTTATACAATTAATGGACTTTTTCTCCCTATTTGAGTGCAATTTTATAATTAAACTAATTATTTTTTTCTATTCATATTAAAAAAAAAAAGACAATGAATTGTACCTCGTGATGTTTCTGAATAAAATACACTTGCCTCCTGATATTTTTTTTATTTACTATATTAGTGAAGGAACTTGCAAAAAATTATTTTGTTAGGCCTGGTTTTGTTTTTAACGGACATATAAATATAAACTTTTGGCATTGTCTGCAGATATTAAAAAAAAATTGACACCCTGTTTCCTTCACCTTTTCATTGTTCTAAACACAAAGAGAGGTATTGCTTTGTAAACTTTTATCAATTTTTATCAACTTTTTCCCTTCATTTGTTATAAAAATTTCATTTACTAGGAACTAATTGTCACTCAGGAGGGGAGACGGGGGAACTTAAAGATATCGTAAAGAACATTTTCCCTTAAATTTACAGTTTTATTTGCCATTCTGCTTTCGAGCTTTACTCTGTTAAACATGTAAAAAAAAATATCCCAGTGTAATTATTTTTCAAGATTCAAGTAATAAGAAGACAAAAAAAATCAATTAATTGGTTAATTACTAATACCTCGCAGGTATTAGAAAAAAGGAAGAAATCACCATCTTTCAATTATATACATAGTTTTCCCCTAGCATAAAAATGAATATATTTATCTTAGTACCTGTACCTTGAAGATAGGGGCTGCATTTATAACGAGGGTTCAACAGGATCATAATTATCAATCCATAAATAAAGTTTTTTATTTAAGTTCATAAATGTCAACAAACGGAATCGGAGATTTATGTGAGCATATACCACTTGAACCTTTTTTTAGTTTATATTTTTATTATTTTCTAGAAGAGCATTTTGAAATGCTTCGCCTCATCGCCTTGTTATTTTTGCTTGTGATTCACACAGAAGCTTATGGTAAGTCTTCAATCGTAAACTTATGTATTAAAACATACAAAATTATAATATTAAAACATACAAAATTTTAATAATTCGTATTAGAGGATTTAATTCTTTGTTCCGTGCGAACGTGTTTTTTCTCGGGCATTTTAACAGTTTTACTCTCTCTCTCTCTCTCTCTACATGTGTTATATGTCGTCAGACAGTCATTAGGTTGATTGATTGTATGTTATTTTACGCCCTCTCGAGAATTATTCACTCATATGGAGACAGACAGTGATTAGGAACCAAACTAAAGTAAATACAATTATTATTGACTAAACGTGAAAACATCATATATTTATTCAATATGTGGGGAAAAGACAATTTTCTGTAGAAATACTCAGAGGCTTTAACAATGGTATCGTTGCAATAAACTTTTTCATGATATCACTTTGTCAACATATTATTAGAATTACCTGCAATACAGAAACCCTTATAGATCCTACCATTATTAGTGACAATATACATGTACAGACCCTGAGACGTGCTACTACCCCAAAAAAGCGTGTGGCTTTCGTGCGCTTTCCGTTTCGTGCAAACCGTGTAGCGTTTCGTGTAAACCGTGCAGCGTTTCGTGCAAATCGTGTAGCGTTTCGTGTAAACCGTGCAGCGTTTCGTGTAAGCTCCAAAGCGTTTCGTGCAAACCGTGTAGCGAGCGTGCGAAAAGCGTGTGAGAAACGTGCGACTTTCGTGTAAGAACCGTGTGAGAAACGTGCGACTTTCGTGCAAGAATCGTGTAAGATTCATTCGGAAGTCATTTCATTTTAAATATGGCTATCGATTGGTCAGGATGTAAAATTCTATTAGTATTTTATAAATGAATTAGTTATGCTTGTGATATTATAGGAGTAAAAACCAAAAAAATGGAACAACAAAATGAAATTAAACGGTAATGTATGATTTATATTTGTTTGATTTCTTTTCCTTCTATAGAAAATGTGTTCAAATAAATCAGCTATGTACAACAATTTTAAGGGCATTGTATTCAATATACTACATGTATCAACGCGATCGTGGCCTCTTAAACATTTTTTCTCAAAGAAAGAAAGAAATACCGGTAATATTCTTTTTTTTAAATTCAAATCAAAAATATATCAGGACTCCGCTCTTGTCTTTACATTTGAAACAATGTGTCAGTTAATATCTTTTAATACATAAAACTTGTTGCTCATTATTGTAAAAAATAATGGATTTTATCATTTTAATTCACGTGCACTGACGACCATATCTTTATAAACGAGAGGGGGGGGGGGGGTAAATTAAATTACTAGACAGTTCAGTCTTTCATTTTTTGTTGTAGCTTTCAATCTAATGTTAGTTTAATTAAATGCTTTATTTTCTATTCTTGTTTAAATTCGTTGTTAAATGTATGCGCAGATACACCCCTTATAAATGTATTGGAATCTTCTTTCCGCCTTTCAACTGTGATCAATACAATTTTATGTCTCATAAAATGATTTATATACAATCTTTTTTACATTGTTTTTGACAAATTTAGATTAAAATTCCAGTTGTTATTGATTTTTAATGTAAAAAGAGTGGGGTCGACTGGATCGGGATCGAACTCATGTTTGGATCGGGTTCGGCTTGATCGGGATCGAGTGCTCAATTAATTTGATTTTACGCAAACATGAGGTCAATAAATGACATTTTCACTCAACTCAAGTTCTCGTGTCTTCACTAGTTTTCAAGTAACAAGAACAAGCTACGGAAAGGCTTTTCATATTGTGAAAGTGACTTTTATTAGTGGAAAAGTTGTGGATAAAAAGGTCATTTACAACAGCGATCACGGGCTCCGAGGGCATTGCAAATGAAAACCTGTTTTGCTATATGTACATGTTGAGTTCACGGCTTAATGACACCTGGAAATTACGACTGGATTTTATTTTTTTTTAAAATAAAATGGTTCTATAAATATTTGATGGGTACAACTTATAAATCAGCGGATTTCATCTTTTATTTGTAAATCCGAATTTCTAGCCGTAAACAGTAAAATAAACAGAACTGATTTGGTATAGTCTTTTTATGAATATCATGTAAGAAAAGTTTAGGAGTAAATCATGAATAATTGTATATTATTTGTTTAATAAATCACGTACTTTTTATTTCATCTAAGATATTTCAGTTTTCTTGTAATATACCTGAGTACCGGTATAAAGATCGATCTTTATTGTATGTACAATGTATAGTCAAATGCCGCGACTATTAATAAATGTACACATACAAACATACCTTTAGTCCTGTTTTGAAATGAAGGATTTTACAGTATGATGGGTATACTGATGTAATTTGATAAGCTTCATGTAAAAAGAGAATAGAATAGATTAATAGATCACATTAACCCCCCCCCCTTTACCGGTTTCCCTCCTATTGATAATGCTTGCGTAAAAAAAAAATCTTTAAAAATGTTTAAATAATCGTTAGTAGAGTATATAGGCAAATTTAATTTATAATTTAAAATCAAAATCACAAAAAATAATCCGCCTACGGAAATCAAACACATGCAATATAATCAATATTATTAAAAATCAATGAGTTTATATTCCTGCGGTGAGAAATAGAATTTGTGTTCAATTTATTAAATCAATTTATCAAATTATACTCGTAAAAATATTACATTGAAATGAATGACTAATACCTGTATATAAAAATTGTATTTTATCAAACAGTCATCTACGATATGGGCATTTCGTTTTTAAACAGTTGGATAAATAAATAAATAAATTCGAACTGACAATTATTTATCAATTAATTACGTATACAACTGTCAGAGTATTGAATATTTCTATCGGTTTTTATAATACAAGTGTACTAAATTTAATTTAAACAGCTGCTTAATGTGGCTTTTTGAGCGATTTTCATTGAATTAATGATAAAGGGGTAAAAATGCCCGAGATATTCCGAGTAGAAAAATCCAAACCGAGGCCAAACCGTGCGAGAATCGTGCACAAAGCGTGTGAGAAACGTGTACAAAGCGTTTCGTGCAGCCTTTCGTGTAAACCGTGCAGCCTTTCGTGCAAAGCGTTTCGTGCAAACCGTGCAGCGTTTCGTGCAAACCGTGCAGCGTTTCGTGTAAACCGTACAGCGTTTCGTGCAAACCGTGTAGCGTTCGTGTACCGTTCGTGCAGCGAGCGTGTGGGGTAGTAGCACGTCTCAGGGTCTGTACATGATTCTGGTACATTAAAAGTTAGTAATACAGTTAGTGATCATAAAGCAACTTATATATATTTTCACCGGAATACAAATGTTCATGCGGCATATAAACGTAAAATTTGGAACTACATGTAAAATCATGCAGATTTAGAAATCCTTAATGATTTAATTGTACAATGTAAGTGAAATAGCCTTATTGATGATTCAGAAAACATTGATATTGCAACAGCAAACTTCACGGAAAAGTTTCTATTATTCTTCAATGCATACCTGAAAAAAACTGTTACCATAAGGCCAAATGATAAACTATGGATGTATTCTCTTCTGAAGAAAACTTTGCGTATTCGCAATAGGCTAAGAAAAATAGCACAAAAAACAAAAGAGAATCTGATAAGGAAAACTTTCAAAAGGCAAGGAATGAGTTTTATAACATGAAAAATTAACATGTTTAGTAAAAACTTTGCTATTAAAAACTATCACGACAATATAGATTCTCATCTTAAGGATTCTAGTCTGAACAATCAAGAACTATCCTGGAAGTTACTGAAAGATACTTTTCACATTAAACCAACAAATGAAATTCCACATATTCAGTTTATAGCCAACAATGGCAATGGAAGTTTTGCATTTTCAGACATAGATAAAATAGAACTACTGAACAAATATTTCACATCAATTACAGAGTTAGATGACAGAAATCGGAAGCTCCCAAATATAGTGTCAAGATGTACGGATAATTTCCCGCATATAAAAATACAAGAACAAGAAGTCCTTGATACAATTTCTATTATTCCTGTTAATAAAGCCGTTGGTTATGATTGCATCAGCCATAAAATGTTAAACTCTTGCAAAGAAACTCTAAACCTTTGTGTATACTATTCAACAAATCTCTATCACTAAAAACATTTCCAGACTGCTGGAAACTAGCATATGTTCTTCCACTATTTAAGAAAGATGACCCTTCCATCACTTCAAACTATAAACCAGTTTCTTTGCTGAGTTGTATAATCAAAATTTTTGAAAGAATCATTTTGAAACATGTTCACAATTTCTTGTATTCACATAATATATTTTATAAATATCAGGCAGGTTTTTTTACCAGGTCATTCCACAGTATAACAACTTGTAGAAACATACCATTATATAGTAAAAAGTATTGATGAAGGTAAATTCTGTTGTATGGTGTTTTGTGATTTATCGAAGGCATTTGATAGAGTCTGGCATACAGGCTTAATTTACAAACTCAAAATATATGGAATCAATGGTGATATGCTAGATTGGTTTGATAGTTATTTAAGCAAAAAAACAGTGTATAGAAATCATTTTTCCTCTATAGGACATGTTAAAGCTCCCCAGGGCTCAGTACTTAGCCCCTTGTTTTTTTTTTGTTGTATGTAAATGATGTGGCTGAAATTATGATATCTGTTTGTAGATTATTTGCTGATGATAATTCTTTACAACAATGTTCATATAATATTAATCATATAGAACAAAATCTTAGTAATGATCTTAGAATACTAGATGAATGGTAAAAAAAATGGTTATTGAAAATTAACCCGCAGAAAACCAAAGTAGTATCTTTTTTTCATTTAAAAAATGTACAGCATTTTCCTAATTGGAATATGTTACAGAACACACAAATCTTGGGATACTTTTGTCGTCCAACTTAGGATGGTCTGATCTTATTCATGGAAGGATATGGAGATAACGAACGGTATTCAATCTCAACGTCCATTAAACAATATACAAAATAAGAGCAGAGCAAACACGGACCTCCGAAACATCAGAGGTGGGATCAGGTGCCATGGAGGAGTGAGCATCCC